CCCTATAGCAAAAACCTCTCAAAAAAAAAAAAAAATCCTGGCCCTAGAGGCTTGAAAAATACTGAGTGTATATGTGCATGCCCAAAATCCTGACATGAGGGAGAAATGTAGGATAAAATGGATAGCACTGTGACTGTGTCCTATTGGGAGGTGCTTTTTCTCTGTCTCTGGCAATTTGAAAAAAGAAAAATAGGAAGAAGACTTGGGAAAGGAGTATGGAGCCTACAATAAAATGGAATAAGTCATAGGAAACCTGCCTCTTAGAGTTTTCGCTCATCTTCCCAGCTCATCATACCTTGTCTTTCCTGTTCTACCTGTTGTCAAGCTACCCTGGTCTCTGTTTAGGAAGCTGAAGTGGCAGCTGCATTTGCCTTACTCGAATGTATCTCTTATGTTTCCTCAACTGAACAAGGTCTAACACCACATAGAAGGTCACACACCACACACTTAAAATTTCCATCAACATATCAGAGATAGGGCTGGCAATCCAGAAATAAGGGGAATGTGTTTGTTCTCCCATGACTTTTTCATCTGAGAGATTTCTGGAATACTTTTTTTGTTTGTTTTACATTTTTTCCATAGGATGCCTGTGTTTGCTGGAGAAAGACAGAGAGAAAGGAAAAGTAAGAAGTCACTCTTGGCGGTGGCCACACCATAGTCTCTTCTCCATTGTCCTCTCAGGCTTTTGGGCAGGCATGCACATATACACACACCTGGTGTGTTTCTCAAACGGATGGGTCTAGGACTTGAACCACAGAGTTATCCATGTGAAATGCAGCATCTTAATCCCCATGCCATAGGCTAGCCCTAATACTTTTAAAGTTATTAACATGTTAGAAGGCACCCAACTGAGGACAAGATCTTGCAGGAATGGAATGGGATGAAATACAATGATGTTTTGGAGGGAGACTAAAGGACACTTAATGGCACCATTTTTATATCTGCTTCAGCTCCTTGTCTTGAAGTTGCCTTAGGTGCATGTATGCTATTAGGAGATGGGAAAGAAGTAAATATTGAAACTTGTGGATTTGTCACTTTTCATCCAAGATTTAGAGAAAGTGGAATTTAGAAGTAGTTTAAGGATATACTAATCAACTGGCTTATTAGTTATTAATGAGTCAATTTAATGACTGTCCATATAATTTACTTAGGTACATTGCTAACTGGAAGGAAATTGCTACAAGCAACTCTTCAGCCAACTACAAAGGTAGGTGACTTTTTGCAGAATTTTATGGGAAATGCTCAAGAACAAAATGATATGGCCCACAGATGTACATATTTCTTTTTTAAAAATAATTACTTATTTAATTTTAAGCTATTATTCTTCATTTCGAGACAGAGAGAGAGAGACAGAAAGAGACAGAGAAAGCAAGCCACCAGATCCAGGATTTGAACTGTGGTCAGTCATGTGGGAATCCAGTGCCTTAACTGCCACTCCACTTTTCAGCCCCAGATGTACATATTTCTAAGCTTTTAACATTTTTGGTGATCTATACACTATATATTGGATTGTTGGAAAAGTCATGGCACATTTTTATATAGAAAAACAAAAATATGTTATAACTTTTCCAACAACCCAATAGATATAGATGAATTTGCCAAGTCATTTTTACCTTTGTTATTTGGGAATAGAAGGAAATTTTGTTTTATTTAGGGTTGAATAAAATAGTTTTTTTTTAAAGATGAATTTTAAAAATAAAGTTTCAGGGACCAGCAGATATTAACTGTGGTTTGAGTCCCCGTGGCTTAAACTCACTCCATGTGCGTGTGTGTGCACCCCAAGATCCCAAGTGGAGAATGGAGAAGAAGGAAGGGATTGTGGTGTGGCCTTACTTCCTAGGGGTGATTTCTAGCTTTCTGTCTCTGCCTCTCTAGCAAGTGCATGCACCCTATAGCAAAAATCTCTCTTAAAAAAGTTTCATATCTCATGATTTCAGTAGTTTTTTCTTTTCTTTTTTTTTTTTTTTGGTTGTCAGTGGAAATGTAGGCTCTCCAAAGTGAGAGAGAGAAGGAAAAAGCACCCCACATTGGGGCATGGTATGCCTCAATCTCTTATCTGCATTTTGTCATCCAGTTGGGATTCTGAGCATGCATGCACACATCCCCAACATGTTTTTCAAGCCACTGGGGCTGGGATTTGAACTGCAGTCAGCCATGCCAGAGCTGGCTCCCTTAACCCTAGCCTGTAGGGCCAGCATGAGAAAACTTCATTTGGCAAAATAAATGCCTCAAAACATGGAAATGTTTTATCTTTTGTGTCACTACTGTCCTGCCAGTAGCCTACAATACTTGAAAGCTGAAAGTTGGTAGCATTTGGAAGAGTATTATCAGATTCCAGAAATACCATCTAATAACCAAAACCAAATTATGGTTATTTTATGATCTAAGTATATGGTTTCTGTCCGGCTTTAATATGGAGTGCAATAAAATAGAGGTTACAGTTGTGGAGTTGGGATTCAGAGTGCCCGGTTTTGATTTTTGGCTCTACTGTTTACTGGCTGTGTGATGTTGAGAAAGTTACTAGCTCAGGTCCCTCTGTAAAGTAAGAGTTAACAGAAGTTACTCCTAAGTTGTTGTGAGGTAATAAATAATACATGTAGAAAGTACAGGATGATGCCTGGGATAGTATGTCCTATATAAATGTGAGCTGTCATTAGCATTAACCTAACCACTTATTTCCAACTCATTTCTACCCTCCTAGCCAAAGGTGCCACTCGCCGTCTTCAGACTTCTGCAGTAGCTTCCGCAGCAGCCTATAGACTGATGTTCTTCCAGTCCATTCTCCATGCACAAGCGTGATCTTTTACAGATTTAAATCAGCACAGTTGAAACACTTCAATTTAGTTAACCAACTTTTCTTTAGCAATTACAATGGGAAAGTGCTGTGCTTTTTTTTTTTACTCTTTTTATTATTTTTTTTTGAGAGGTTTTCGCTATAGGGTGCGTGCGCTCGCCAGACAGAGAGAGACAGAGAGACAGAAAGCGAGAAATCACCTCCCGGGGGGATGGCCACGCCACAATCCCTTCTCTTCCATTCTCCTCTCGGGACCTTGGGCACGTGAGTTTTAAGCCACCGGGTCCGGGACGCGAACTGCGGTCAACTACGTGGGAGTCCAGCGACATAGCCATTACGCTAACTGCTGGTTCCTGGGAAAGTGCTGTCTTAATCTCCTTTATAAAATTAACTCATTTTCACAACAACCCAATTAGATAGGTTCTGTTATCTGTATTTTACAGATGAACAAAGAGATGCTGTTACTTGCTCAAGGTTACATAGTTCTTATGAGGACTAGGATTTACACTAAGGCAGGCAAGCTCAGTACCCATGTTCTCAACTATGTCTTTACTCTGTTGTCACTAACAGCTTTCCATTGTATTTGGGATAAAACCCTGAATTTATCACAGCTGTGGCCTAGCTCTCTAGTCGTGTATGTACACTGACCCCCTTCACTCAGTGGCCTGTATCACTGGCTTCAAGCTTATTCCTCAAACACACCATGCAGCTTCTACTTCAGTGGGACTAATGGAATTGATGGCCTGCTAGAAAACAGTTTAAGTTAACTGTCTTCATGAGAGGGCTGGGAATTGTCTATTTTGTTTGCTATTAAATCCCCAACGTGTAACAAAGTAGGTGCTCAGTGACAGATCAGAGAATATAAAGGAATGACAAGTACAAAAATAGAAACAGAAAACATAAATTACTGAGTTAAGAGAGATTTTTATGAAAAGAAGGAAAGATTTAGGCTTAAAACTCACAATGCCTCTGTGCATACATGCGTGCCCAAAATCTCAAGAGGAGAATGAAGGAGAAGGAATTGTAGTGTCCATCCCCCATGGGGGGGGTGATCTCAAGCGTTCTGTCTCTCTGTCTCCCTGGTGAACACATGTGCTCTATAGCAAAAATCTTTTTAAAAAGAAAAAAATAATTGTTAGCTAATAGTTAATTACATAACACTAAGTGCCATATACTATGCTGAGTTCTTTTTAGGCACCGTTATACTTACTTCTTACAAATACACAAGGTAGATGCTATCAATTATCACCATTTTACAGGTGAAGACACCGAGCCTTATGTTATATAACTTGTCCCCAAATATACAGCTAGGTTTTTGTTTTTTTTTTTTAAAGAGGTTTTTGCTGTAGGGCGTGTGCACTCGCCAGAAAGACAGAGAGAGACAGAAAGCAAGAAATCCCCCCCTGGGGGGGATGGCCACACTGCAATCCCTTCTCCATTCTCCTCTCAGGATCTTGGGCACAAACACACATGCGCCTGGCATGAGTTTAAGCCACCAGGTCCAGGACTCAAACCGTGGTTGACTACGTGGGAGTCCAGTGACATAGCCATTACGTTAACTGCTGGTCCCTACAGCTAGTTATTAAACAGCTAGGTCAAACCTCAAGCCAGGTCCTGCAGATCCTTTGGTAGAGATGGACAATAATATACAGTACTTAAGGAAGGATGAACTCAGACCAGTAGATGGCATAATGGTTACTTTGCTAGATTCCAATGTAGTCGACTATGGCTGGAGTCTTGGACATGATGATGGCTTAAAACTCATGCTAGGGGGACCAGCAGATGGTGTAATGACTACCTCACTGGACTCCTATGTAGTTGACTGCAATTTGAGTCCCGGACCCTGTGGCTTAAACTCATGCCGGATGCATGTGTTGTGTGTGCCCAAGATCCCAGGAGGAGAAGGGATTATGGCATGGCCATTGCCCCTGGGGTGTGATTTCTTGCTTACTATCTGTCTCTCTCTGTCTGGTGAGTGCACGCACCCTATAGCAAAAACCTCTAAGATGATACTTTCTATGAAAATGTTTACCAAGAACCAAAAATTACTAGATTAACACCTGATTCTACTTATGGAATGGAAATATAAAATACTTTCTTCTCTGAGCTATAGCCCTTCAAGCCCTGCCTTATTGTATGCCTAGAGATAACCCAATCTGACTGGAATGAGTTTTAAATGTATTCTTGACACAGAATTTAGCCCAGTCTAGTAAGGAAGATGGAACAAAAACAGTACATTAGACTGAATACAGTAGACATGGGAACTATAGAAATTATTCTTGGTTTTCTCAGAAACTATAGTATTCTAACATTCATATTTAAATAAAGATATTATATATTTAGGTACAACATCTTCAAAGTGATTATCTTCCTTCATTTGAGGCATTTGGTACACTTGCATAAAGCAGAGCTCTTTTCCACTTATCCCATATCCAAATATGCTTTGCTTCTTCCTTCTTCCTCCCACTTTGCCTTATTCTTTCATTTATCTCTATAATTTTTTTCTTTCTTTCTTATGATTTTGTCTGCTTACCTATCCTAATTTCCTTTGCCTTTCTCAGTGTCTTTCCCAACCATTCTTACTATTTTATTTAACAATTGTTTCTTTTCTCTTTCTTAAAAATTTTGTCAGAGGGCTCATGTTTGCCAGAAAAATGGAGGTGGAACACCTCCATCATGTGGAATGGTCATGCAGTGTGCTAAATCCCTTCTCCCTCTCTTTATCCTTTCAGAAATTTGGGCATGAATACCCACAAACTCAGCCTGTTTCTTAAGCTGTCAGGTCTGGGACTTAACTGCATGGTTAGCCATATGGGATCTGACTACCTTAAACATTAGGCCATGAGGCTGGCCCATCTTGCTGCTTTTTCTCATATTGAAAATTTTTCTTTATCTTTTGCCAGAGGTCACATGTGCTCACCAGATAGATGGGCTGGAAAGGACAGAGAGAAAGTATACTCTCCACAGTGGGGTATGGTTATTCACCATCTGTTTTTCTTCACTTCTCCATTCTGTCAGGATTTTAGGCACACACATAAATGCACCAAGTGTGTTTTCTAAGCCTCTGAGGCTGGAATTTGAATTGTAGTCAGCCATGTAGGATGTGGTTCCCTGAGCATAGCACTTAGCCACTGTGCTACAGGGCCAGCCCTTCTTTCTCCCTTTTTTGATGCTTTTTATGTTTGCATTTTTCTCTTTACTTGCTTTCATCAAATGCTCCAGCTTAGCTGTATGTTCAAGCTAGAACCTTAGGTCACTCTTTAACAGGCCAATTTAACATTGTTTCTAGGTGGTGCATATAATGGGACCAGTATTCCTTTGGTCATACACTCATTTTCCCACTTCTTTTACTACGAAATTGGTCCCTTGATCTGAAAGCCCATGATAGTAAATCATTAACTTTGTAGGTCCTTAAGTAGTGGTTCAGGCAAAGCCACCATGGGCAGAAAAGCAGCTATAGCTGTACCAACTATCAATCCTTAAGAACAAATTGCTGTAGAGCCAGCAGGTGGTGTGGTGGTTAAGGAG